TCTTATCAGAGCCAATCTGAGCTCTGAGGCCCAGCAGTGACTCAGATAATGTGGAATTCAATACCTCATATGTATCGATGTCATATCTTCCCACCGCTACCTGCATCTGAATTCAGTGAACATCTGTCCCAGCCACATACACACTGTTGCAGTTACCCATAAAGCCGGAGCAATTTTCTTCTCTTCATTTTGATTTTGAGGCATTAATACATTGATACAAAGAAAATCATTATACCTTCCCACCACATGAACACTCACACACCCAAAAATATTTTTAACTCTTGCAGACCACTAGCAGACCTAAGTGTGGGGGGGGGGGCTCTCTGAGTGCCATGCTCAGCAGAGTTTGATCAAAAGGGCAAGGGCATCAGCATGACTGATCTCTTTCCTGTCCCCAGCTAACAAGTAAATTACCATCACTTAGTCTGTCACCCTCGTCACAGAACAGAGCTCTTATGTAGCTGACCTCAGTCTGAGAGAGGGAGAGTGAAAACTATTCGCAGAACAGATGGCAGCCTCTGTTCCAGACCAGAGAGGTTTGGGGGTGGGGCGGGGGAGATGAAAACTATTTACACTTGTTGGGAAAAAAAAGCAAAAAAGCTATGACCAAAGTGGAAAATTAGCCGTGGGGTTGTTTCAAAATGTGAAAATAACTCAGCTCCAGGGGGGAAAATACAACAATGATGTCACTTTTGAGGTAATTACTCTATGGAGGAGGTGTAACTCAACTGAAAATAAATGATGAAAGTAGAAAGTCAATACTTGGACACCTACTTTTTGGACTGAAGAACTTCCATACTGTTAAAGTGTGTTAACCTCACCACTCACACCTCACATGTATTGAAGAAGTTATTCTTTATACTTAATTTTTCTTGTTTCAAGGTTCTTCGGCAAAAAGAAACGAGTTGCCAGCAATAACATATATAGATTTAGACCTTGCTCACACCAGCAAAACATTTTACAAATTGTAAACTGTCTCAATAACATGTATGCATGCATGTAGTAAGGTTTGCATTCATGCTTTGTGAAGCATTGTAAAATGCAGATTTATGGATAGTGGGAATGCATGAGTAAGCATACACATCTGAAAGCTACTGTAGAAGCTACAGTAGCTACAGCGGTGATGCCATAAGTTTACCACTGTTACTTGAGTGTTTTGGGACTGGCTGAAACCAGACTAGGTACAAACTTCTGGAGCATGTATGGGCGTGCCGTGGTAAGTTAAAGATTCAAGTGTTCAATCCTTTTGTACCATATAGACATCAACTTGGGGACTTGGTCATAGTTCAGTAATGAAATCCTACCACATTGTAGAGTGTCTCTCTTGCTGGGCTGCTGACAGCATCATCAGTCGGTGTTAACTTGCCATACCACTGTAGTTTCTGCTTTGGTTGTGCGCATTTCAGTGATGGGTGTGCAATTCCAGACTTGGAGGCAGAGCTAGGCAAACACCTGACACCGGAGCTGAGAGTGTCGGAGTGGCCAACAAAAATGAGTTGCACTTCCTGATGACATAATAGGAACTGTATATACTACTCACTCACTCACTCAATTTCTCACTCACTAAAGATCTTGTACAATATGTTGGGAACAGCCTCAGAGAGTGTGAGTTTGCCAGCAGATGTCTTAGTGGCTTAGTTTTCCATCAGTAATTATTTTCACAAATGTCAAAGCCACTAATTAGACTAATAAGCAAAATGGAGAGGTGACACACCCTCAGGAACCCCTGGGAGAGCCAGTCTCTTTCTGAGTCATTTCTCTTGCTAGCTAGACTGAGGAATGGATGCAGTCAGAGGAAAGTCTAGATGTGGGTGTGTGTTATCCTACATCACCTTCCTTTGTATGGTTTAACCAGCATATCTGTACATGCAAGTACATGTGCGTGTTGGAGTTGAGTATGTAAACTGCTGTATGCTGTCTGTAAGGGAGCCTTTGTAGTTGATGAAAGGAAGCCCCTATCATCAGCTGCCTGGGGACAGTAGGGCTTTGTGTAATTACAGGCTTTTTCTTGCTCCCCTGGGCAGATGCACACACACACACACACACACACACACACACACACACACACACACACACACACACATTCTGTACTTCCATCTACTAAATAATTATTGGGTCAGACTGGACTGGTTAATTGGTTAATTGTAAGTGACTGTTTATTTGTTCATTTGTTTTTGAACTGTAAACTAAATGATATGACTACTGTGCTAAAACACATTAATGGTGGTTACATTTCTCACCAAATCTATAAAAAAGAAATGAGCACGTCATGGGCTAATCATGGCTCATACCCATTTGGGATTTCATGAGACCCATGTCATGAGATTTACATTAAAATGAATGCCTGATAATGTGGGCAGATGAATCATTAGACTAGGGAAATGGTGTTTATAGACAAACTGTGGTCTGGTCTTAATGTAATTGCATAGCATTAGCTTTGGCACCTCCCTACAACACACGTTCTCTAAAATAGGCAGGCTACTGTGGTGGCTGCTTGCACACCTGGCTAACAGGCATTATTGATGAGGATGATGGTGTGTCACTCCTCGACATTTCATGTAGTAGAAAAATATGTATGGTAATTACCTGGCTTTATAATTTATTTGAAAATTAATTGACATTAGCCTTAACTAACATATTACCACTCAGAGACACCCCCCACCCCCTTCCATTCCCTCAACACAGAGAGCTCCAGCTTTAGGCCCAACTAAACTGGAGCCAACGGCTCAAACTAGGGACCACCATGGTCCTCCACAACACTAATGCCCACCTTAGTAGATTCTGAAGGTGAAAAGTCGTCCACTTCAAAAGAGTCCTCTGTGGCATAGTTGTCTTGTGACACTGTCACTCTCACATCTAGCCAAACTTCCCTCAGCCCTCATCCACCTGCCCAGTTTTAGCATTTTTCTACAGTGGGTGGAGTTAGAATCAGAGTTGGTTACACTTTATATAGGTAATTGTACATGGAAAGCATAGCAATCATTAAAGTTCACAATCTGTAATTTTTTTTCTATAGAAATCGTTTATCATATGTATACTAATTTTACTAAATTTCAGTTCCATTGAAATTACACAAATGAAATAATTTCAAATTGTAACTTCTATATTAATGATTAATTGTTGGGATGTATTTAAGTAATAGCACCCTGTTGTTGTCTTGTGTTAATGTCTGCACTGTATCTTGCTATGGAACAAAGTATAGAACAAATAGACAGATTGACAACATGGGCAGTAAGCCATCAAACTATCTTTTTACATCATACACTCAACAGCTGATTATAACAAATTCATGGTCCTAATCTTTAGATTGTCAAAATAAATAATGAGAAATGTTGGAAAATACCCACTTAAATAGGAACTCAAGAGAGGGATCATAGGAAAATGTACACAGAAATATCAGAAAGGGAGGATTTCTCACAATTCATGTTGCTGTCATACGTTTAGAGTTAAAGGAGAAGTTCGTGTTTTTTTCAACCTGGACCTTATTTCCAGCATATGGTATGTAGATCTACTCACCCATAAAGGTTTGGAGTAACTTGGAGTCCTTCGGACGCTTTTAGATCCACACGTGATCGGCGTATATCCATACAACACAAGTGACTGGGGCATCCACAATACAGTCTCTAAATAACACATTATCTGCCGCGAAACTCTTTATTTACTATGAATCGCCAGCACCAGTCCCCTGTGAGTCCAAGTTGCATTGTTTACATCCCAGGCTTTCACTGGGGTGACGTCGCCGAGGCGCGCAGCCGCAGCACAGCTGACGATCAGCTGTGTTTGTTTACACGGAGTTCGCTGCTGCTAGTTTTGCGCAACATGGCAGAATACTTATCAGGTGCATTACAGTACAGTATTTTTTTAAAGCAGCTGTGTCCTGGTGCTTTAATAGACCAATTAAAACAGTTTGCATCAAACAGTCGACATTGACACTCTTTTACAATATGTTGAAGTACCAGTTGTTGCACCGTATTAAAGAAGCTCCAACTGCAACTGTGCGTACTGGACTTCATCAATCATTGTACTATATAAGCTTCCAGTCTCTTGAGGCGCTGGTTTCATCTCTTGTTTGGTTCATGCATTAAGGGCTCCTTGTCATTACCTCTGACGCGTGACTGACAATCCTTAACTATAACTTCCCACTGCTGCAACTCTTAGCTGCTAAAGCTAATGTTTGCCTCATAGATCAAAAATTCAGAGCTCCTAAAGTAATACACTTAAAAGAATAACATTAAAAGGTAAATGGGATTTGTTGTAGTTCACCAACTGTCTTCCATTTACACTTAACAACTACCAAGCCATTGGCTGGCTACCTGTCTGAAAAGATGTTAAGTAATTAGCTGGATTGTATTAGATTTAGACTCTCTACTCTGTTGACTGTGTTTTCTACTAAACTATTAAGGCTATTCTTAGACAAGGCTGCCACGGGGCAGTAGAGCGGTTGTCCTCTAATCAGAAGGTCGGCGTTTTGATCTCAGTCTTCCCACTTGGGCAAGATACTGAACCCTTAATTGCCCCTCATAGAAAAAAGATGCACTATAGATGCACCATAGATGCATGGATGTGTGTGTGAATGGGTGAATGGCAATAACCTGTACTGTAAAGCGCTTTGAGTGGTCATTAAGCCTAAAAAAGTGCTATATAAATACAGACTATTTACCATTACCATTACTGAGCCACATATGTCATAATTAATGCTGAGAATGTAGACAAAAAGAGACTGGGGTCTTGAATATTTTCTTTGTTCTTTTAATGTTTGATTAACTTTATAATGAGCACCCTCTACATACTGTAGTTGTATACCATGCAATGAGTAAATTAATAAGGTACAGTGTGTATGAGTGTGCATTTAAAATTGTGAAAATACAAGTCCAGATTATCCATATGCTTGCATACTTGTATGTGACCTTGTCATCACTCATTTTCATTCTCCATCCGTCTCTCCTTTCTCTTTTTCTTTTCCTCTTCTCTTTCTTCTATGTCTGGGTTTTGTGTTATAGCCAACTGCATCCCTCAGTGCCAGAACGGAGGAATGTGCCTCAGGCCTCAGCTCTGTGTCTGTAAGCCTGGCTCCAAAGGGAAGGCATGTGAACAGAAGACGGTGTCCACACACCCTTTTCCAGCACTGCCTGGGAATGAACCCACGAATGGACACACCACCGGTCACACGAATGGACACACCACTGGTCACACTAATGGACACAATGTAGTACCCCAACGGCCCATACCTCAGCAAGTGCCTCCCAGTGGGTACGCTTCTGCCCCCCCACCAGCTAGCAACATGGCTCAGATGAAACTAACCGTCAAGCCGTACCCTCAGCTTGTGCGACCACATTATGTGCAGCAACACATCCAACAGCAGTAAGTACTCCGCTTTGATTCAGCTTTTTATTTGTTCAAAAAATGCAACTCTATACTGTCTTCCAGTTGAAAATCATATAGTTTCCCTAAATGACTCTGGGAAAAACCTTTAGAACCACTCAAATCATCTATTATCTGCTTATTAATATTCCTGGGGGGGGGTTATAGATAGATCACTCCATAAAAGACCAGTCAAATATGCAGTATCATGGACTTATATCTTTTTTTCTTAAATGTATTGATAAGAATTCCATATTCAGGTCATGGGAACATCACTTCATTGAACATTGATGTACAGAACCTGCTGTGGGTTAGAGTTTAGCACAAAAAACAAACACCTGAAACCAGTCTGTAACCAAATTTGAGACCCAATCTTGACCTGAGGCTGTGGGTTAGTTTTTTCTTTTTCTAAGTTAAAGTTATATGTTTTCTTTAGAAAGTTTTTTGCACATGTAAAATATAATTAATATGACTATGCTAATAGATCATGAACAAGGCCCATTACGAATGCACCATGCACCATAGTGAGTTAATACAATACAAGTCACTACAAAGGCAATCCATTAATAAAAATACCAGCTCTCAGCCATCCCAAAAAAATATTTCCACTAAATCATTAATATATAGAACAATATGGAGCCATCAATGTATAATTGCGGCCAACTGTAATATATATAAAAGCACAGCTGCCAGCACAAAATGCTCTGAATGTTTATGCGAAACATCTGGGCCTGTTGAGTACAGCATCATGTTAAAGAACCTAACCTTTCTCTTGGTTCTTCACTTAATGGTATTTCTAGCAAATTAGGAGCATTGCCAAGTATAATACCAGCCTTCTGAATCAGATTCTTAATCCAATTTTTTTGATTAACTCTAATACTGTTACTGCAGGATACTTAAGCATAAAGCTGCCACTGAGCATGATGTTTCGATGATCTGACCTTGTTTATTTTTCATTGCAAACCATTTTCATTCCAATATTTTCTTGTGGGTGGTATCCTGTCTGAAATGAATGCCGAGCATATTGAGGACAGCATAGAATAAGATGAACAAGGGGCTCTCTCTTTGCTCTCTCTTTGTCTCTTTGCTTTTCAACATGTTTGCAGCTGTCAGTTCATTCTGTCACTGCTGATGACTGGCCTGATTGCAATGTTAAAGTAATCCCTGGTCTAATGTTATCTTCCATAAAATGAATCCAACAATTCTAGGCATGCAGATTTGGGGAAAAGAGAGAGCTGGCATTCTTAATAGCACTGACCTAGTTTAAAATCATGAGTCTTGTGTTGTGGTCTTGACAGGGATTGATAAAAAGAGCTGTAACACTAACAAACCATTCAGTTCAAGGGTATTACTACACAAATAGCCAATACTTTATTCTGCATTTTTCTGCATCATATACTTTCCCTTAAGCCTGGTAACAATGTATTGATTTGGAAAACACTGACTCAAAGGACTTAAATGTCCTGAGGATAGGAACCTGGGTTGCACCTGCAGTACTTTAATGGCTGTCCACTTCAGGTTCATATCAACAAGAGAATCCAGATGTGTGTGCTAAACCAGCCTAATGTGAAAACAAGTTACCCTTTCAGCTATAGACCTATACACTATGTCTAACATTGTTGCCTCACACTTTTTGGAAATATTTGAGAGAGCATGTATTAGAAGAATCAGTCGTCCCCATTTTGTTTTTGCGTCACACCTAGACTAGATTTCATAGTTTCAATTTCTTACTGGTTTCTGGATGTTGACCTTGCCAATACACTTTCATTATCACCACACATCAGTGGAATAATGGTTAGAAGGTTATGATTAGTCTCTCCTGACAGTTTCATAAGTGGAGTTGAAATGTAAATCCTGCAGGGGTTAACTATTGGTTAATTTTGCACGCCATTAGAACAGACAACTATAGAATACGCAATTGCATCAGACACAGTAAAAATTGCTGTGTAATTAATGTTGGGACACATCAGACAAAATTTGTGATATTAATGATTGCTATTTTGTTAATGAATCAGTGTCATATTCTGTGTTTTTAATGTACTTTTTAAATGTCAAGATGTTTTTTTTAATGCACTGCACAGGCAAAAGTAATTGCTTCCAGATCTGTGTCCTCGAAAGCTGCTCTCAATTTGGAGAAGGGATTTGTCTCTCACAAGGATCTATTCTCCAATTGGTCCGAGCAACAAAGCAGTTTTGTTATCTGATAGGATAAATAAATAGGAAAGTAATCCACAGGTAAGAGCCCTCTCATCAGAATATAGTATTGACTAAGCACAAAGAGGTTCTGGAAAGCATTTTTAATAGCTAACAATTTGTTCAGACTTCTTCATTTTTGGCACTTGATTATGTTGTAATTCAATATTTGCGCATCAATCCATTCTTAATAACTCATCATAACAAAATGAAAACATGTTTTGGGAAAAATTGGGTAAAATCAAAACTAAAATCTTTTAAGAAAGTATTCAGACCCTTTTCTGGGGCAGTGTATAGAAGCTGAGTAGACTGTGCCGATGAAATGGGGCGAAGGTTTTGATGCTGACCAAAATTATCATGACATGCTGTAAATGTTCAAAAATTACTGAAACACAAACTATATATTTTTTTAGTATAAGGATGATAGTATTTTCATTACTTATTGAAGGCTGAAAATGTGTTATGTTTAGTGCAGACGTCAACCCCAAATGTCAGAGTGGAGACAAATTATCAGCTTGACAGTATCAACCAAATCATCCTGGTAATTAGGGTTGTTCGATATTATGGAAATATCTCGGTCCGTAGATGACGTTACTCACGTGGCGGCCATTTAATTTTCTTTGGCCCCACCAATGTGTAATAGAGTAAAGGCAGTCCAAACTTAACAGAAATGAACAGTGGACAGACATAAGAAGTTAATAAAGTTATATATCAAAACATTCCCACGTAGCTAACATAAAACTCATCCTACATCGTCCGTGCTCCCTTGTGGCCCCCATCATCATGGTAATTAAAGAATAAACAGTACCTTGAAACCAGTAATTGTTTAACCTGAGTCACTAATTCTGTGTAAGTCTGTAAACAAATCGTATTCACAATTGAGCAGGTCCAAAACAAGTGATAGTGTTTGGCTTAAGAGAATTCACCATGCCTCCGGCAGCTGGAGGGGCCTGAGTGATAAGACTTTCCATGAGATTGAAATTGATGTTCTTCACTGAAATCCACTGACTTCCTCTGCAACACAACTGTTATTTTTTCCCTTCCCATGTTTATTCTGTGCCTCTGCCAGTGAAGCTAATATGTTAATGTCTATGGTTGCAATGGTATCCAGGTTTCTAATAGAGGATTTCTTTTCATAATGAATTGCGGCCAGTCAAGCTGTTTGTGTTTGATTCTGTATGTGTAAACAAGGGGTAAGGATTTAGGGACCCCGAAACAGTGTATGATTTTTTGGGCTACCAACCTATGGACAAATAGTGACTAAACCACAAGCTTTAGTAAAACCTGTAACATAACAGTTACACTGTGGGTCCTTCTCCATACCATACTCAATTGTTTTTTTCTCACTTGTCAAGTGATGAATCATGAAGTACTTGGCCAGTACTAGAAGAAGAAAGGGTGCATACAAAAGGTGAAAGACAATGTCCAGGAAAAACATTGTCTGCGTCAGCAGTAGGATGACCAATTGCATTGAGATATCAGTGGCAATTCCCATTTGGTTTGTGTGTGCTTATAAGGCTAGGGAGTGATGAAGAGTCCTTTACACATCATCGCCGTCCAGCCCATAAATCACCGCTGACAGAGTAATGTTATCGTAATGGCTGTCACTGTGTTTCAGCTGCAAGGGTCAAATGCTGCAGCTGAACCCTTGAAGGTGTGACAACTGGAAAAAAAAGAGAGCAGACTTCCACAGGAATCAAAACGTACACTTGAGGTTTAATAAGTAATTACAGGAAAAGAATGCCCCTTCTCTCTACACAAAATTCAGTCTCTGACCCTTGAGAACCCCTCATCTTAGTTTAGGTGTTCTTCAGTGTTGATGATCTGAGGAAAAACAACTGTTTAATGCAATGAATGGCTGGAACTATTTGAGCTGCACTTAATGTAATATGTAAGGTATGCTACCCAAAATCAATGAATGAAAGCTTAGATAGATAGACAGATAGATGTCATTGTCTGTGAGTGACAATACTTACATAATTCACATTAACAGTCCACATTATATATCGGCAAAATTTTGAAAATGGATGTAAACTGAATGTGTACTCTCTATTTTTAATATTTTCAGGGATGGTGCATTAAGACTGTTGAAATTGCAAGAAACTTCCAACATTAGAACAGTACATTTATGGGGAAAAAATCTTGGATATTCTCTGATAATATAAAGTCACAAATTTACTAGAAAAAACACATAACTCAGAGAACCACCTGCAGTGGTTAACCTAAACAAATTAGTATTCTTTGCAATTAGATTCAACAAAAAGGAAATACTTGTGATGTAAGCCCAGAATCTGTCATAGTTGGAAGTGTGAACTTAAATGCATAACACATTGATAAAGTGAAGATTTATTGGGGAGATGAGGGTTCTGGCAGGTGAATGCTGGGGGCAAAGATAGAAAGGCCGTTTGCAGGATGGAGCCAAAGAAAACTAAGCTGTGAGTGGAGTGGGATGACGGCCAGCAGGCAGAGCAGTGAGCTGGGGACAGACTAAAGAGGCAGGGGCATCCAGTGGAGATGAGCTGGTTATGGACTTGTATGGCAAGATGGCAAATCCAGTTTAAAATAAACTGTGATATTGTTGCATCTGTCTATTGCATTGTAGTTCCTAATGCAAAAAATCTCATGGATTCCTCTGCAAATGTATGAGTCTCCATTAGATTAGACTGTAAACACAGCACAGAGGCAGTCTAAAGGAAGAGCAGACTTTTCTCCTCGGGAAACATTTAGCCCTTTGTGACCAGTGCAATACTGTTGTTTGCTCTACTGAACCCCTCAAATATCTGTTCATCTTTGTAGTAATAAAAATG